GTCTATCACCAACATAGGCCAATCAGATAACCAGTATTTTCGCCCCTTCCCAAAATTACTTCAACGGAAGGTTTCCAGATGGATATGCGGAGCAAATCCATCTGGCGGAGTCAGGTTTATAAAACTACTGTTGATGTGCAAAATTTTTAATTCTCAAATTAAAATTGATTATAATTTCTTACCCACTGAAAAAATGTTAAAGCTATGGAATATGACAGAGTCAGGTGATTGCTGTGTCTGTTGTCAGGAATCCACTCTGCATTTTTTAAGTATTGTCATATTTTGTCTCTATTTTGGGTGGAAGTTGAAAAAATGTGTTTAAGGTTTGATCACAGTTTAGTTCATTTAATCTTTCTAATCAATAGAAGGTTTATCTTTAAAGCCAAAAATAGATTTTCACTTTTATTAATTTCTTTAAAACATCTATTTGGCATTTTTTAACTTGAGAAAGTTTGATGGTTGAAACTGATAATGAAGCTTTTGGGTTGGAACATTAACTGTCTAAATGTATCCTGTGCTGGGATTTATGTTGTTAATTAAATTTAAAATATAAATAAAGACGATTGAAACCCCGCCCCCCCACAGGGAGGAGGCTCCTCTCTGCCCATCCTCCAGCAGGAGATCCAGACGGTGAAGGAGATCCAGCAGCGGTTTCCCGGCTTCCGCGGCGCCCCGGTTTACAACGACGAGGCGGACCCCCTGGTGGGCTGGTCCAGGCCTGAGGAGTGGCGGGCCGACGTTACCTACGCCGCCATGGTGGTGAAGGTGAGAGCGGTGAGGCGCAGACAGGAAGTAGGGATGTTTCCTCATCCTCTGTGTCTCCTCGGATAAGGTCATCAAGCAGCACCAGGACCTTCTGGCCGACCCCAACAGCACCGTCAACTACACCCTTCTGAGCAACGACAACGCCTTCCTGAGTTACCACCCCCACCCGTTCACTCAGCGCACGCTGACCGCCCGCTTCCAGGTCAACAACACGCGGCCGCCTCACGTCCAGCTGCTCCGGAAGCCCGTCCTTTCCGTCATGGGCCTGCTGGCTCTGCTGGGTCAGAACCTTTTACATCCTGGTTGGATTCTGACGCTCCTCTTGCTGCTAAAGTTCTATGTCTGTTCGCCGTTTCAGGAGAAGCTCAGGTTCCGGCTCGTGTTTCAAACCCAGAACCCGACCAGAACGGGACGCTGGGTGTCCTCGCCAGCATCCACACACCAGCGGTCCGCGGCGGCTCCGACAGCTGGCAGGCGGCGGTGCTGGTCTACAACAGCGACGACAACAGCACCTCTGGGCCCGCTGATGATGTCACCGTGGTTCTGAGAGGACTGGCCCAGCAGGAAGGTAGGAGCTGTTGGGTTCTGCCCGTTCAGACGTTCCGGCTCGGTCCGTCTCAGGTTCTGTTTGTGATCCAGGTCTGGTGTACGTCACCTACTACATGGATAACGGCGTGAGCAGCCCGTACCGGCGCTGGCAGAGCATGGGCCGGCCAGACTTCCCCACGCCCCAGCAGTTCAGGCTCCTCAGGAGGCTGGAGGTAACGGACCGCCTCTGCGATTCTCTCCAATCAGAACCTTTCGACCCGCTGACGTCCTGTCCCTGTTAGGACCCCCGCTCCGACGGACCCCGCAGAGTTCCCTCTGGAGACACCCTGACCCTGAGAGCCCAGCTGTCTCTTCCTTCAGTCCTGCTGGTCCACGTCTGTGCCCGCCCTGAGGCGGCGCCGGATCAGGTGGGAGGAGCCTTCTGTCGGTGGTCGACTGGAACACAGAGGAAGCAAACACTCTGTTTGTTCTCACTTTGATTCATAAACATGTTTGATTAATCAGGAATGAATAACAGGAAGCAGAATGTCACTGAATGAGATGCAGTTACAGCAGCTGCCTTTAGGGGGCACTCCATCTGGGTGGTGCTGCTCTCTGACATCCTTTAAACAATTTAATTAGTCAGTGCCGACCAGATGAAAGGGTTCAACGCTAATAATGAACAACCCATGAAACATGGCGCTGGTTGTCCTTCCAGATTGTTCCTGCTCCGCTGTGAGGAATGACTCATTAAGATAAAGATGTAGAGACTAGGGTTGTCACGATACTAAACTCCTCAACTCGATACCGATACTAAGGAAAATATTCGATACTCGATACCATTTTCGATACCACAAGGATAAAAACAAAGACTCCAAAATTCTACAGAAATATTTTCATTAATAAATAAAATACAATAAATAAATACAATAAACAATAAGAACAATATTTTGAAGTTCTATACTGTGCACAATATTAAGCAAGCTTGATAAAAAATGTACAAAATTAAAATGAAATGTTCCTTCCTTGGCTATGCTTTGTACACATAACAATGACACTAGCCAAACGGTTACAAAAAAAGTTACAAAAAAAGTGTGAAACTGAAAAGTGCGTAGAATTATTCAATCACACAGTGTTCTGAAAGTGCATTGTCCTCTATTCTGCACTTTAGCTGAATGACTGCTTAGGTGCCACTGGTGGTGGCACTGTATCGATACTTTTAAAAACAAGTATTGTATCCGGATACAACATTTCAGTATCAATACTTTTTTGAGTATCGATACTTTTGACAACCCTAGTAGAGACGCATAAATACTTAGCAGAAGTTCCTGGGGGCCCCATAAAACTCTGTTTTCATGTATGGTTAATACAACTATTCCTTATTTGTGCACATTAATTATGTTTTTGATAAAAAATTCTTTGGCTAAAATGCCATCAGAACACTGATAATATAAAGTGTGACCCTGCCTGTATTTCCCTGGTCCCCCACATTTCCTAAATCCCCAGCCCACCCCCTTGCATGCGATGTTATTTATACACTGCCTGGCCAAAAAAAAACGTCGCCACCTGGATTCAACTAAGCAAATAGGTAGGAGCCTCCTATTGGATAATTACTGCTGGGCGATTATCTTTCAGCTGGCAACAAGTTATTTAACCCCAACTGGTTCAATGACTTGCTTCTCATTTCCTAAACAACCATGTCTAAAGACACATCCTGTGGTCGTGGAAAAGAAGTTAGTCTGTTTGAGAAGGGTCAAATCATTGGCATGCATCAAGCAGAGAAAACATCTAAAGAGATGCAGAAACTACTAAAATTGGGTGAAGAACTGTCCAACGCATTATTAAAAACTGGAAGGATAGTGGGGACCCATCATCTTCAAGGAAGAAATGTGACCGGAAAAAAATCCTGAATGATGGTGATCGGCGATCACTTCAACGTGTGGTGAGATCAAATGGAAGAAAAACAACAGCAGAACTCAGGGCTGTGTTTAATACTGAAAGTAAGAGCATTCCCACACGCACAATGTGAAGGGAACTCAAGGGATTGGGACTGAACAGCTGTGTAGCTGTAAGAAAACCACTAATCAGTGAGGCTAACCGGAGAAAAAGGCTTCAGTTTGCAGGGAGCATAAAGATTGGACTGTGGAGCAATGGAAGAAGGTCATGTGGTCTGATGAGTCCAGATTTACCCTGTTCCAGAGTGATGGGCCAATCAGGGTAAGAAGAGAGGCAGGTGAAGTGATGCGCCCACCATGCCTAGTGCCTACTGTACAAGCCTGTGGGGGCGGGGTTATGACCTGGGGTTGCTGCAGTTGCTCAGGTCTAGGTTCAGCAACAGTATGAGCTCAAAGAATGAGGTCAACTGACTACCTGAATATCCTGAATGACCAGGTTATTCCATCAATTGACTTTCCCTGATGGCACAGGCATATTCCAAGATGGCAATGCCAGGATTCATCGGGCTCAAATAGTGAAAGACTGGTTCAGGGAGCATGACTCATCATTTTCACACATGGATTGGCCCCCACAGAGTCCAGACCTCAACCCCATTGAGAATCTTTGGGATGTGCTAGAGAGGGCTTTACCATCAGACTCTACCATCATCAATGCAAGATCTTAGTGAAAAATTAACGCAACACTGGATGGAAATAAATCCTTTGACATTGCAGAAGCTTATCGAGACAATGCCACAGGGAATTTGTGCCGTAATCAAAGCCAAAGGCGGTCCAACAAAATTTTAGAGTGAGGGACCTTATTTTTTTTTTGGTGGCGACTTTTTTTTTTTGGCCAGGCAGGGTATATTTATCTACATATATGGAATTTATAATTATTGATATTTACTCAGTAATAGAGACAAACTTGGTTTGAGTCTCAGGCAATTAAATCAAGGCAGGCAGCTTTTAATTACCCGTGTTTTTTTTTTTAGATCCCTGTCATTATGTTCTTAATTATTGTTTCGCCTCTAATAGAGACACCAGTCTGAACAGGAACTAAGTTTTTTCCTTCCTAACAGACAGAAGCTGTTGCTGAACCATTTTACCGCTCATAGATGACTTCCTGTCTCTCTGTGGAACAGGTCAGCGGTTTGCGCTTCATCAGGATCACTGTGGGGCAGGTCTTAATCGTCTGGTCGGATCGCTGCGTCGGCTCAAAGTCAGTCAGTTTTTCATGCAATCTGCCATTTTAGTGCATTTAAGGTCAGAAATGATTTGTTTCTGTTTCTCGGCTCATAGATGCATCAAGACCTTTGAAGTGGAGCGATCTGCGGACCAGAAGGTCTTCAGACGCATCAACTCTCAGGACACCATTTTCACCTATTATGTCTTTTCACCAGGTGCTCTGCTTGTTTTTAGACGAGTTGTGATGCTGCCTCAGAGATAACCTCTGATTTCCTGTTTCAGTGGACCAGCAGGTCGGCGGCCTGTACCGGGTCCGGGCCGTGGACTACTGGGGGAGGCCGGGGCCGTACTCTCTGCCAGAGAGGTTCTCAGGAGAGCAGTAGGTGGAGGAGGGAAGGTTTCTGCTGCGTCTGCAGATCCAGAGCTGATCAGTCGGCTGGTTTCCCCGTCATCCTGAAGACGCCATCGTTCTGTTTGCGTCTGCAGCGATCGGACGGACTGACAGCAGAACCCGGCTGGGTCTGGTCTCATGTTTCAGAACCAACTTTTACACATAAAGTGTTTTTTAACAAACCAAACACACGTAGCTTTCTTTATAAAATGTTTATTTTCACCAACACAGATCCACACACTAGATGTCACGGGGGAGGGGGGGAGGGGCCTCCCTCCTAGGCTTGTTGATCTGGATTCATATGATGCAGCCTAGACGTCTAACAGGCTCCTGTTGAAGAGGGAGAAAAGCTTTTACTTTGAAAGCTCCACACACATCATTTCCTCGCTGCCAGCAGAGGATCTTACCGGACTGCAGCACAGGTTGGAACTGCCCCGCCATGCAGATCTCCTCCTGCTTCTGTCGGACCAGCCTCTGGATCGCCGGGGGGAGGCCGCGCGGGTTGCGGGAGAAGACCAGCGCATAGCCGTCCTCGCAGCTCCCGTCCTCCCTCAGGACGCGGCAGGCGTAGGTGATGGCGTAGTTGTCGTAGTCGGTGTCGATGACCCAGTAGTTGTCACCTGAAGAGGCAGAGAGAGAAGTGAGTCGGACGGCGCTGAGATCCAGGAGAAACGGAAGCTGTGAGGCTCTGGAGGCTCACCGCCGCTGGACAGGTAGCTGGCCAGTCCCTGGTAGTTCATGAACATCTTGCCGGGGGTGTTGGGGTCAGGTACGGAGTACTGAGCGGCCATGTCTGCGCAGACCACCCAGAACCTGGATGGAGGGTAAAGCAGAATGGTGTCAGCTGGGCAGCCTGGGGTTCAGGACTCGTCGACGCGTGGCACAGAAGCACCCACCCAAAGAGAGTCACTCTGCCTCTGGAGGACGCCACCATGGAGCCATCGTCCCCTACGGTGTATTCGGCAGATATGTTGTCCTGCAGGAACAGGCCCTCTGGGTCCTTCTTCTGCAGCGCGTACCATTTCCCTGCGTACTGTCAGCAGAAACACAAACCCGTCATCATATTTCACTGGACGTTGTGAAGTTGAGGAGAAACTGAGACTCTTGCAAGAGAATGTTCAAATTTATTTAACATCCTCAGACGGAGGGAGAGAGCTCTGACTGGGGCAATGCTCAGTACATACATTTATACAACAACTCCCAACACACTGTCCCTTGGAACCAACCCACCCCCTGCATAAAGAACTTTCTCACACACCAACATTTGGAGGAAAAACAACTTGAGTTCATCAAGGCCGTTCCCTGTTAGGTTAATCTATCTTCCACTGGTCAGATGGATCTCCTAATAACAGCAGTCCTCCCCTTTATGCCATGAAGGAGGCTGTGACTCGTTCTTATCTCTCATGACCTTCGTTTGGATCCTGGGAGGCTAAGAACAGACGTACCTCAACAATTTTTTTTCCACAAACTAGCTGAATTCTGCTGCTTACTGAAGTGCATGCCAAATCCGATCACACTGTATGCTGATGACATCCTCCTTTGTATTCAGAATACTTTTATTGTTCATATTTTTATAATTTTCTGCTGGGCATACGCTGTGCGTTTTTTTGCCCTTTTCACGCCGATTTACCAGTCGTGCGAGAGTTCATTCAATCAAATCGTTTGAACCTCATCCTGCGTCGTGTAGTATACGGGTGGTAACGAGGGGCGATCAGCCTCTCACGACCACCTTCCCATCAGGAATCGTAAGGTTTGGCAAATCCTGCTGCCATGCATGCGAAAACACGGGATTTCTTCTTCCAGATTAACGAGTCAGACCTTGCATCTTTCGGCGTGTGTTTTTTGGACGTGCAGTGTGAGCAGCTAAAGGCTGGTTATCCTCAAGCAGCAGCGTGGGGCGGTTAGCTTGTCGTAGCTGTGACTCCGATATTTTTGATTTCTGCCCAATATTGAAGCGTGGTCTGCGCTATGTTATTCCATGCCACAACACCTGAGGACCAATCAGGAACTAGCTAGGATTGTGGGTGTCCGCGTGTCGGTTTGACGAGCTTGTTTGCCGTCTACAACCCCTAATCCAACGCCGGACGACACACAGTTCCCCCATGAGTGTTCCCCAGAGACTGGCCGTGGCGCTTCGGGTGCAAACCAAAAAACCATCGCTCAGAGCTACAAACTAGCGTCCTGCACGGTGTCTGGGATAGAGTCTGAGGCGTGCCAGGCGCTGTGGACGGCGCTACAGCCAGAGCTTCTGCCATTAGGAACCAAACAGGAAATACGCATAGAGTAAAGCGGATGGAGAATTGACCAATCAGAGGCCTCCTGTCTGTGGTCACCTACAATTTGGGAAAGGTGCAGCAGAGTGTCTGCACGTCCATATCTGCGTTAACTGCAACACAGGCGCAGACGACCTGGTGTCTGAGCATAAACCAGGCTGTAATGACATCAGAGCGTCGGGTCGCAGTCTGAGAACTGACATCGTGAACTGGGAACTTTTAAACCCTGCGATTTCTTTGCACAGTTTGAGCTGCAGCTGCGTGCAACGATTGAAAACATCGCGCAGTGTATGCCCGGCTTTACGGAGCACCAAGCTTTGTATTTTGTACTCACTCTTTGGGGATCAAAGTCCTGCTTGACGGTGAATCTGTCCACCACGCAGGATGACAGGCTCTGCTCCACGAAGGCCAGGACAAACAGCAGCAACCCCACGGTTTGGACGTCCATTCTAAACCCGGCGGACAGAAAGAAACCCGATTTAATCCGCTCTTCAAGCCAACATGTTGGCTCCAATGGGATAAAATCAGTTAGTGCAGGAAAGGAGAAGCCTTAAGAAACTCCTCCAGGTCCCAGAACGCATCGCCTCCTTACCTGAACAGTAGAATACAGCCTGGGGAGGTTTTCAGTGCAGAGCTGTCGTTGTTTTGGAAGAACTCTGCATGTGAGCCTTTTATACCAGAGCTGCAGACAGGAGGGCCGATTATTCTCACTTCTTCAGCCTAAAAGCAGATTTTAAATCTTGGATTAATCCAGTTAACCAAATCCCCGCCTGTAAGCTGCTGAGCCCTCACATTCAGGAGCATGAGGCCTTTATGTAATTTTTCTGTGGGCTTTGTGGCGAAAGATTAAACCTTCCTGAGCCTCACGTGCTGCAGGTCAACACCCAGGTGTGATCGGCCGGGATGCCGGAAGGTACCGCGGCTTTCCACTAATGTTTGCTCTCAGAGCCAGGATTGTAAAATGACCTCTTTATGAATAAAGGCTGATTCTGGGAGCAGCAGAGTGATTAGAGATCAGTCTGTCAGCAGAGCTTCAGGGGTTTCTACCTGCTGTCATGTCGCCTGGAAGGGCTGCAGAGCTGCAGCTGGTAATCCAGGTAGAACGTGTCACAGGATTATACCTCTATGCAGGAGCAGAGGGCCCAAAAACGCAGGTTCTGTATATAAATCCAGCAGCAGAGGTGAACTTTGCTGTTATTTAAGCAGCTTTTTGTTCCCAGTTTCACAATAAAAAGCACAAAGTGTCTGAGTCTGAATCAGGACCCGTCAGGATCAGAACCAAAGCAGCTGTTCGTCTGTCGTCTCTCCTCACTCAATGATTCCTCAGGTGATGGAGGGTTCAACTCAGCCCGCATGTGTTTAAGGTCCCGGGTTACTCTGAGATCAGTTCAATGTTGTGCAACAGATAAAAATACCCGTTAGGCCTTAAACCGCTGACATCTCCACGTCAGCGTGACGACGTCGTGACAACTGAGGAAGCTGGACGCCACCTGCCAACCCTCAGAGGACCAGGTGAGCTTTTAGGGCCTTAGTTTGGAAGAAAGCTGAGAGAAAAACATTAACAGGATATTTGTTTAAAGCTCATAAAGTTTATAAACTAAGATCATTTAAAATTGTTCATTTAAGTATTTAAACCTTTTCCAATAAAATTTTACTAATGGACTCAAATGTTTTACAGTTAAAAAATAAACTGTTCACCAACACTTAAATACGCCATTTATAATAATCTTTAATTAAATATGCAGTTAATCACCCGTGTGTTTATTCTTCAATCAATTTCCAGAAACATGTTAGTTTTCTTTTAAACTAAACCCAGACAGCTAATCAGTAAAACAAAATTAAAAAGCAGTAATTATTAAATAAATGGTGAACTAAAAGTTTATTTATTGAAGTGGATCATGGTGTTTCGATCAGAGGAGTTTTCCACCACAAGTCTGTAGAGAATTAAGAGATTAAATTATAATGAACGTGTTTTCAGCTTGGATTAGAGCTGCATTCAGATGAGTTTAATCCAAAACAAGCTAGTTTAGCCAAAGGCTCTGCAGAAACAACTAATGTTGATGTGAAGGTGTGAGGAGGAAGGAAATTCTCATAAACCAAATCTGGATCAGAATTAAACATTAAACTGTCAGGAAAACAACGACCAGATTCTGGCCACAGAGGACAGATGGTTTATAAGACGGGTTAAGGAAGCCATCTTTGTTAACCTGGAAAAACTATCAATAGAACTCCAAACGTTGCATTTCTGAATTCTCCCGAGTGGTGCCCGACTTTACAGGAGTGAATAAAGTGAATGCGATTGGTTGATTCGGCCCTACAAACTCCGCCACAAACTTCACCAACTGGGACTCAACACCACCCTGTGCAACTGGACTGTGGACTTCCTCACCAATCGTACACAGAGGGTCAGAGTGGGCAACAACATCTCCTCCACTCTTTCCATAAACACTGGCGCGCCCCAGGGGTGTGTTTTAAGCCCTCTGCTCTACACCCTGTTCACACATGACTGCTCTGCCTCTTCTCCCTCCAACCTGATTGTCAAATTCGCTGACGATACCACCGTCCTGGGCCTCATCACCAACAACGATGAGGGGGACTACAGGGCAGAGGTGCAACATCTGGCATCATGGTGTGACAGCAACAACCTAGCTCTTAACACCAAAAAGACCAAGGAAATGATTGTGGACTTTAGGAAAAAACAGCCTAAAAAGAACGAACCCCTCTCCATCAGTTCAGAGGTGGTGGACCTTGGCGGAGGACCTGTCTTGGGGCACTCACATCGCCTCTGCTGTTGGGAAGGCCCAGCAGCGCCTTTTCTACCTGAGGAAGCTGAGGAGATACCACATCCCCAGGCCACTGCTGGTGAACTTTTACAACTGTGCCATCAGCAGTGTTCTGACTTATGGGCTCCTAGTGTGGTTCTCTAGCTCCTCCAAAGCAGACCAGCAGGCACTCCAGCGTGTGGTGAAAACAGCAGGGAAAATCACTGGAATGCCTCTCCCAGAGATTAGTTCCATCTACACCACACGCTGTCTACGGAGAGTGCAGAACATCATGCGTGACAGCCACCATCCTGCCCATCACTTGTTCCAACTTCTACCATCAGGTAAAAGGTACAGGTCCCTTCAGAGCCGGACCAAAAGACTGGCCAACAGCCTATACCACCAGGCCATAAGACTCTTGAATTCACAGGACTTGAGGAACGGACTACCTAAATTCTGAATTCTGAATGATTTGCCTTATTCATTAGGGCCCCCTTATTATAGTCTGGTTGGGAGCTGTGTATTTATTCTGTGTGTGTGTGTGTGTGTGTGTGTGTGTGTGTGTGTGTGTGTTGGGGGGGGGGCAAGCATTATGGCACTTAATAATCTTTGCTGCACTTTAAGTGGGACGGAGGGGGGGGCTGGGGGGATCAAGCACTGGTGTCACTTTTACCTCTTGTGCACTTTACTTGGAACTTGCTGCTACTAAGTATTGTACCCCAAACACAATTTCGTTGCCTTTTTTTGACAATGACAATAAATTCTTGAAACTTGATTATCAAGGGGGCGGGATTGTTGGGGCGGAAGGTTCGCAAGCAAGTTTGGTTGTAGCCGGTTTGTGGGAAGCATCTTGCTAACCAGTTAGCATCTTAGTGCTAGCAGGTTCCCAATGGGAAATTCCATTGGGACCAAGTAGCACTAAATTGGTGACTTAGAAACGACGCTGTCAAGGAACGCTATGGACAGCGGAAACATGCAAGAGGAGGAGAGTTTAGTGTCGGAGGTCGTGGATGAGTCTCCTCCGTCATCCATTTTTTATTTAGAGGAGGAAAGCGGGGACGAAGATGTTGTGGAAGAGGACGCCAGGGCGGCAGAAGCTTGGTTTGGTGTAGAAGGCTTCCAGCCGTACATGTTTGAGCCCTTGCCTCGCAACGCTGCCAGTTCTGTTAGCTCTACGCCTGCCGAAGACACAGACGTCCATCCCCGTGAACACTGGGACGCAACTCAATGGGAAAGGAAAGGATTCTGGTTTCAACCGTTGCGTATATTAGCTGCGACACATGAATCAAGATGCTATGACCGAAAAAATTTGATTGACAGATGACCGTTGATATATGATTGGCCGAATTTAGGTGTTCAGGCTGACGAATAACTAACTGGCCTGAAGAAGATAACGGAAAAAAAACACAGATTTTAAGACAGGATTTAAATTTTCTAACTTTTGAGACAATAAAGATATATTTATATACATGTTTAAGCCAGAATGGTTTGACATTTAATTTATTTTGACATTTAAAATAAAAATGAAATAAAAAAAACAATGTTTTCCCGAACTGTTTAATTTAACCCAACATAATACTTAATCACATTCGCTATCATAATTTCTAATTTATCTTTTAGTTATCGTGACTCTGCCAGTTTCTGATGTCTTACTGGTTTTCACATCATGCTTTTAACTGTTTCTCAGTTTAAATCTCTGACTTCAAGATACTTTTCTGCAGCTTTTACTAGTATTTTGATTTTTCACTACAATTGATCACTTCTACCATGAAAAGTACAAAATCTTTCCTTTTTTTACAATCAATAAATCTCTGCAATTTTTGGACGCTGCTCCAGAGGTTTTAAACTTCTCATTAAATGAACTGCTGGTTTGGGTCTGTCTGACTGGGATCCTTTTCACAGCTTCAGTAGAAGTTTTTTCCCAGCTCTAATTCCCTGACATGCTCTGTGAGCTGGAAGCTCTGCTATAGCCAGCTGTGTTCCTTTCCTAATCAGGTCCAATCAGGTTAATTAAACCCAGCTGGACTCCAGTGAATCAGCAGAACCACCTGATGTAGGATCAGAATTGATGGACAGCATGAGAGTTAAATATAAGTGTTACAGCAAAGGGTCTGAATACTTATGACTATTTGATATTTTAGTTTTTCCTCTTTTGATGAATTTGCTAAAAATTCTAAACTTTTGCTTTTTTATTCTGTCAAGATTTGGTGCTGAATGTTTATTAATGAGAAATAAAATGGCTGCAATGAAACAAAGAGGGAAAAATGTAAAAGGGTCTGAATATTTTCCGTACTCACTGTATTTTCCAAAGTGAATAATTCAATAATTTAACAGGTAGATGTTTGACCAAATAACCTTTACTTGTAATTGACTAAGATATGATCATGAGTATCAGTACTTTCACTCCAGTAGTACTGGCGAATACTTCGTCCACCACTGCTCCCAGCAATCCAAGTGGTAATTATTCCATCAGAGCGACATCCCCTGTCTATTAATGATAGTTCTACATCCGGTCATCGTATTTTACATATTTAGTCATTTTTTTATTCAGTAACCTAATAGGATCCTGTTTTGTTTTATCTTCTAAGTATTTCTAGTTAAAATTTTTTCCATCAGTATTTAGCAGCTGGCAGAATAACGACTACTATTAATTACATCCTTATGTCAATTAAAATATCCTCTTGATGGTCATTGATCTGGATCAAGACAACAAAGAACCAGATTCTGGATCCAAGCGGCTGAAATGAGCTTCCTCTCCAGGGAGGCTGGGCTCTTCCTCAGAGAGAGGGTGAGGAGCTTGGTCATCAGGGAGAGACTAGAGCTGCTTCTCCTCCACATCCAGAGGAGGATCAGACGTATTTATCTGATGACTCGGTTCCAGAGAAGATGAATATGAATACTTCATATTAATCAACAAATTTGATTGGTGTAGATCAGCTGCTTTATTACAAAACTATGTTCAATCAATTTGTTTGGATACATC